TTCGATCCATAGTGCGGCCGTTAAACGACTGAAAAGCTAATGGCAAATTATTCACCTCGCCTTTTTAAAGGAGAATATAAATTCTATCAAACAGGCGGAATCATCCGTGTCTAGGCTCACAAACGAAGTCGGGTTAGTTTATGACCTCGTTTAGCATTGAGGACGCGTAACTTTTGATAAACGTGACGATTGATGACGATCGTGACTTGTCGAACGAGATTAATTAAACAAAAAGAACGTTAGATAAGGGTGAATGATTTTTAGCGTTGATCAAGCAGAGAAGAATAGAGAGGGCCATTCCCACTCTTCCCGTGAATGTTATAAATGGCGACTAAAGGGACAAACATGCGAACATCAGGCCTCCCCAACTCGTGGAATCCAAAGCTATGAATTTGAATTTAAATCCTGACAAGGGTATACACATTTTTTTTACGTGTTAAATTCCGGTAGAGTCAGGCTCCTCTTTCTCACAGGGCCCTGTGATCGAGGAGGCCCCCGTCGGTTTTCCTAAAAGATCTTTCTCCAAATCATCCAGATGAGAAGGGCCTCCTTTGACCCTTGTGCCCATTGCCCCTAGTAGATCAAAGACGGCCCTGGGTAGAGTAGAATAGATAGACTATAGGACCATTCCCACTCTTCCTGTGGATTTCCTAAGAATATGGGACTAACATACTAACATAGAGCTCCCCAACCCGTCTGGCCAGCGCGTGGGGAGTGTAAGCCAAATCCTTCAGGGAAATAGAGCACTGGTTACCTTGAAAAGGAGGCTGACAATAGTGACTGAGTTTCTTGCGCTGCTTCTTCTCAGCACTGGCCCATTTATTGTCCCGAAGCAGTGGTAGGGTTAATACTGGAGCGTGTAAAAGTGCTTTTTAAAAGCTTATTATGTAATTTGCAAAAATAAATCAGTTTTATGAATTTTTTATAGGTCGTGATACTGAAGTAGAACGTCCACTGCTGGACAAACAAAGGCCTCCCACAAGGATTTTCACTATACTTAACTGGTCCTGTGCCGATTCTACAACTTTTTTTTTTATTTTAATACTTACTTTTAGCCTGAGATTAAGTTACAACATAAACAGCTGTTATTTACAATATCGTTGTATTATGAAATAATGTCGTAGGTATGTAATTGCATAATAAAATGTTCACTATCGTCCTCTGATAAACAAAATACACGTCCAAGTACTAATTAGCGCGTACTCAAGTACGTAGTTAATACTAGGGTCAAATGAGTAACACTCATTGACAACATGTTGTCTGTTTACCAGTCGGCGTTGTCAATAAGTTATATTTTGCCCACGGCTACGCTTGTTTCTACTTCAGCCCGTCAAACACTCCCACCGCTGCAACTCCTGTGTAGCCAGGATCTACAGCTTGACAGTCAATAATAACCCAACCAGTGAAGGTCAAGTTTGTGCCGGGGGAAAAATAAACTGTCATTGGGAAAGTCATTACATATTTTATGTGCCTGCACTTTATTTGAAATACAAGTTCCGTATCCATCCATAGACCCCTAGGCCACACGTCGTGATAACCAAAGATTCACGCTAGCGATATTATTATGATGTATAGCCAAATATTCGCGTATCTTCGGGGCTTTTTTGCTCAGGCACTGACCCAGTTATGTACCTACTAGACCCGTAGTTAGGTATGTAGGTACTATACACTGTTACTTTATTCCTACACTAGCTTTTGCCCGCGGCTTCACCCGCGTGAAATTTCGTTTGTCACAGATCGTTATTATAATATGTTATTCTGGGTTATAAACAATAATACTGTAAAGTTTCATCAAAATCCGTCCAGTAGTTTGTGTGAAAGGGTAACAAATATCCAGACATCCAAACTTTCGCACTATAATATTAGTAAGAAGTAGGATTACAGACAAAATAATATTATCATTTGCTTGCAATACTTTATCAATTGCAATCAAGCAATATTATAATTGATATGATTAACCAATTATAGTTACTTTGTCATCTTAATTAAGATTTAATAGAAGATAATAGGTACCACGGATGTTTACTCGTGTATGTTATTTTAGTACCTACATTTATACTGATATTTATTTATTTATTTAGTAGGACAACCAACAAGACATACACTGGAAGACAATCAATATTTACAACGTATTTAACTATGACGTATATGTAGATATGCAGACGTTAGTTTCTATAAAATGAAGGTTTATAAGTTTATGCTCACCAAGGTTCGTTCGTCTCAGCCAAATGCCGTCCTCTGCTGGACAAAGGCCTCAGGATTTCCACATCGACCTGTCCTGCTGCCCGCATCCAGGTACTTCCCGCGACCTTCACCAAATCGTCGGTCCAACTAGTGGGAGGCCTGCCCACGCTACGTCTTCTGACTTGTGGTCGCTACTTAAGAACTTTTCTGTCCCAACGGCCATCATCTCTACGAGCTATGTACCCCGCCCACTGCCTTGATTTCCACCACCAAGCCTACTTGAATTTTAAGACTTCTTATCTTCTTATTCGTTACGCTCTTGGCAGAGCGGTCGTGGTCATGTTGAGGCGTTGTTCACATCGGTAGAGGCGGATACAACTCTCCGCACGATCTCCCACCATCTTTCTCTATTGGCAGACTGTCTGGTGCATCCCACATACGCCGTCTCCCACTGCTGATTTAACTTGGTCGGTCCAGCGCATTGGTTACCTGCCACGCGATCGGGTTCCATCGACTTTTCCTTGGACGACCAGTCGTTCTATGGAGTTGTCAATAAGCTGACAAACTAACCTTATTCCAATAACAAAGACGACGTGTTGCCAACTTTTTGGCTACTTTGGGTGTCACGAACTATTTAAACTGTTCAACATGCGTCGTATAACTTTTTATCAGGTGATAGAATAGAATAGTCTTTAGCAAATTAAGATGGACTTACAAGAACATAAATTGAAAAATTGTTCTCAAAACTTAGGTATAACATTTTGGCATAGTTTTAGCTGTGCCCTCAGGCTGTGCCTTGGTTATAAAAAAAGTCGACTGTCGACGAAAAAAAGGGAAAAAAAAAAAAAAAAAAACGAAACAAAGGACTACATATCGTACCTACTCATTTCACCTAAGCAATGTTTCCGGAAAACGCAGCGTGGGACGTCCACCCATAAGGTGGATCGACGACCTGATAAAAGTAGCAGGAAGGCGCTGGATGCAGGCCGCTACCAACCGTGCGATGTGGAAGTCATTGGGGGAGGCCTACTTATGTTCAGCAGTGGACATCCTATGGCTGAAATGATGATGATGAATGGTTCCGAAGTGAAATAAACACACAATTCTACTTTATTTACCCGGATGATATCACCCAAGTGTATTCACTTTATTAGGTAGATTTTTTTTTTGCACCGCCTTACTCTCTCTGCATGACCCGTGGTTGACTGGCAGAGAATGCCATCCGGCATTAAGTCCGCCACAGTGCATTGTACCACGGCTATAATTTATGCTGATCTGTGACACTAAATTTCACGCGGGTGAAGCCGCGGGCAAAAGCAAGTAAATAAATAAATAACCTAACTGCCTCTGTGGTCTTAGTGGTAAGACCACCTGCTTCAGACGCAGAGGTCCCGGGTTTGATTCCCAGTGGGGGGCAGATTTTTCTGTTCGGTTTGGTTGGTGGTAGGGCTTGTTCTAAGTCCGCCTGGCTAGCTACCACCATCCTACCTAAGTCTGGCGCCATAACAACAATGTTAACAGCATTGTTGTGTTCCGGCAGTTAGAGGTAAGATAGCCACCGTGGTTGAGGATTCCGGGTGAAGCTCGCTTCCACCTTCGGCCTGATCGTCACTTACCATCAGGTGAGATACAGGCCAAGAGCTTCCTCGTTGTGGATAAAAAAAACATCGTCAGTACTGAAACTTGCTATCCCAATAAACCATACACTTGCCCTTGGTATAATAATATCAACAGCTAAGCCACTAGCGCAAAGCTGTCTTGCAAAAATTGTCTCTCCACTGATGGCAAACGTTGTCAGGTATCGCCATCTGAAACACTAAATTTTAATTAGAAAATATTTGCCAGAAAATTTCAAGTTATCGCGAGTAAAGTGAGCACAGCGCCATCTTTGTATTTTATAAAGAATCACACCCCGCCGACTGAAATACGAAACCACCCCCTGTCGTAACTTGTTTTCCCTGTTTGCTAGTGCTGCCATCTGTTGCTGATGTGAAAATATTTCATGTTATAGCGGGCATTTCCAATAGCGCACAGTCGCGACAGCAATATAATTACGCGCGAGCGATAAGGATGGGTAGCTAGGGGTCATTGGGCAAAATTCTACGTGCTCACGGACCGGGCTTTAGCCGTGTGGTCCCAGCAGAGTAAAATAGAAACTATTCCCGTGGATATCGTAAGAGCCTAGGGGATTAAAGGACAATGCGAATATCAGGCCTCCCCAACCCGTCTGGCCAGCGTGGGGAGTGTAAGCCAAATCCTCTGGTAAATTATATCCTTCAGTGGACACTAAACGACCTGTGGGCGTAGTGTGTTTACATCAAACGACCTCACTAGTGAGCGCGTTAAAAAATATAAGAAAATTCGCGCTCACTGTTGACGACGTTTGACGTAAACTCACACTAAGCCCTTTGTACGGCTAGCACGAAAAACTTTCGAGTTCGCTTCGAATCATTTACGTATTCGACAAAATTCGATACTCAATCTTCGAATTAAACGATAACGTGACAATTTTGATTCTCAAAATAAGTTTCGTGCAACCATTTCTCATACTAAGTTCACTTTACGACACGTTCACAAGGGCGCTGTTGTAGTTTTCGTATTAAATCTTTTGATAGCGATTCGAATACGCAAACGATTTGAACTCGAAAGTTTTTCGTGCTAGCCTACGTGCTAGTAGGTACTGATTATGATAAATAGGTAATATAATGAAATAAAAATACTACTTTCACGCACTCTAAACTTCTAAACCCTTCCTTGACTAAAAATAAAATCTATTGATGTTAATATTCGCTTCAGGGTTTAAAAATAAAATTCAATTTATAAACGAATGTTATATTGCCTCAAAACCATACCAATCAACTGTTATATGTTTTTGGAATAATTAAGTATTAACATAACTACAACAGACGTGCTAAAATCAACCGTATACATGCGCTATAGATTATAAAATGATACTTAGTTTGCCCATAGATTAAGTATCTATGGTTTGTTTATTTTTTTCTTTCCATATTGCACCTACTTTATTTTTGTTGGGAAACGAAATATAAATGTATAAAAAGCCCCATGTAGAAATCACTGGCAAGAAATAAAACAAAGATTAAACTTAGTCACAATTATTATAACTTTTTGAAGATCTATGCATTGTTAAAAAGTTTTTGAATAAAATATCCAACTTTTTTAAACTTATGTATTCGCAACTTAAGTACTACATGCTAATATTTGGATATTATAATTATCACTATAAAATCACTGAAGTTTTCCAATTTGAAAAACGTTTCCTATCACTCAAATAATATTGTCGAAAAATATCCATTCCCTTTGTTCTCTTAACACGCGTTTTTGAAGGTAATTTCTTATAAATCCAATAAAAAAACTCCTTAAAACGACAAAATTAACATGCGTCAGAGGAAAAATATTTTAATTGTATTATTGGATATTGCACAGTATAAAAGCGAGGTAACTTTTCCGGTATTTAGATCTCAAAAATTCAAGCAACTTTAGTATATCAGACAATTCAACAATAAATAGTTTCACAATAATAAATAAGCACTACTGTACTACTAAAGTTGCAAAAACCAGTAAGATTTAAACTGTTTAAAAAACTTTTCGAATTTTTACAAACGTCAATTACAAAATTTGACTTTTTACTTTTTTTGTGATACAGCAATGGAATAGTCCAATTCTGCCTATGATGTTTACAAAATTTGACTTTTTTCTTTTTTGTGACGCAGCAATGGAATCAACTGACTCTGCCAATGATATTGCCGAAAATGATGGCCGCACACATGATAACACCGATGCCTGTTAGAATTTGGTTGGGTTCGAAGGATATTTTCTTTTCTTCGACCTCCCTTTCTTTTTCCGCGTCGTCCAGGTCTTGGTGGACTACGGATAATGCTTTGGCTATTTCCGCGTCTGATTTTGCGCTGACTTGCGACGCGGACAGCACTAATTTCTTGAGGTCCCGCAGTTGGTTATCTATGACGTGTTCTTGGTGTGTTATGTGATCTGGAATGGAGAAGATAAATCAATGAATGAGTGTCCTAGACTGTCCATAGACATACAGGTCTAGTACATAACTTAGTAATTTCCTGAGGTATGGGGAGCGGAACGGGAGGGTTGACATGTGACGTGACAGGGAATACAAGTTTGAAGCACATCTGAAGGGTCGCTGACAATTGACGTCACAAAAACACCCACCCATGCCGGTTCAATACCTCAGACACTGACTCAATTATTTATTTATTTATAATAAATAGGTATACAACCAGTTTACAGTCTAGGCTTCATCGCAAAGAAAAATAAGTAAGTTATGTGCTAAACTTGTAATACCCCTTTCAGCGCGCTCTAATACAATATTGTGCGGGTTACAAAATCGAGAATATCTCATTAGTTTTACATCGGAAGTGGATCGTACGATTGTACGGGAAGCGTTCTTTCACCTCCCGTGCAAATGGTAATGCCAGATTTTGTATGGAAGGTGGCGTCTTTTTTTTTCGCGCGGCCATCGACCAAACTTTGTTTTTTGATTACAAAATAGTGTAATAAACCAAACTTACTATGACATGTATACCTCTAAACTCAGTCTGAATTGAGTTACGAGCGTTAGATGTTTGATGATTTACATACTAGATTTGCTTTTTGCGTGCAAGTTTTGTAAGAAATTGCAACAAAATATTGCGCTATTTTTTTATTGCGCTGATTCTACTCCACATTGATGTCTGGAGCCTTTAATGGATGGTATTGTTTGTTTACACATACAATGTCACTATTTTTTTGCAATTTCTTACAAAACTTGCGCGCAAAAAGCAAATCTAGTATGTAAATCATCAAACTTCTAATGCTCGTAACTCAGTTCAGACTGAGTTTAGAGGTATACATGTCGTAGTAAGTTTGGTTTATTACACTATTTTGTATACAAAAAACAAGGTATGGTCGATGGCCGCGCGAAAAAAAAAAGACGCCAATTTCCGGCAGTCTTTTTGTCCGAAGCGCAGTTGGTGAGCAGGTTACATCCTGTACAGTTCATCACTAATTGCGCTCCCCAACTTGGCGACAGAAAATCTGGAAAATTGTAGCAGATTCGTAATCTGCGGTTCCAAATTACCTAAACACCATGTTCAAAATTACAAATTTCTTTCTAATTTAAGCGCCGGTCCGAAAGGGATACAATATCGAACAGGAAGCCAGCATTTTAAAGACAAAGTTTGTTTTTGTTACCTATAAGCGACGTCTGCTTGTTGACTAGATGGTCGATGTTCTCCTGCATCAGTCTCAGATTCTGTGCTAGTTGTTCCTGAAACAATTTGGTGTTCACTTTAGTGATTTTTAAAGTATTTTTTGACATTCTTCTCTAAAAGGACACACATTTTCCAAGCCAATTAACTATTTCTACAGTTTACTTTATAAGATTAAAAAAAAAACTATTTTTTTTTATTTCAATTTGAAGATGATCACTAACCTGCTGATGATCACTGACCTGGTAAGCGAACTCAGTCAGTCTTCTAGGCATCAGCGATATCAGACTTTTAGCCCTGTGTAAAGACGGGGCTCCTGCTATGGAGACTAAAAATTACCTGCTAATGATCACTGACCTGGTAAGCAAACTCAGTCTCCATGGCGTCAGCGATATCAGACTCCTAGCCCTGTGTAAAGACGGGGCTCCTGCTGTGGAGACTAAAAATTACCTGCTGATTATCACTGACCTGGTAAGCGAACTCAGTCTCCATGGCGTCAGCGATATCAGACTCCTAGCCCTGTGTAAAGAGGATTGGGCTCCTGCCCTGCTGTGGAGATTAACTGACCTGTCGATGATCAGTGACCTGCTGACCACTGACCTGGTAAGCGAACTCAGTCTTCATGGCGTCAGCTATATCAGAATTTTAGCCCTGTGTAAAGAGGGTTGGGCTCCTGCCCTGCTGTGGAGATTAACTGACCTGTCGATGATCAGTGACCTGCTGACCACTGACCTGGTAAGCGAACTCAGTCTTCATAGCGTCAGCGATATCTGACTTATTGGCGGTGCCTCCCCCGGCGATGGTATACAACACGCTTGCACTCCTGGCCATCTGCTGTTCCATCATATCCCGGAACTCCGCCATCTTTAGACGGTTGTTGATGGTGGAGCCGGCGATGCCGAGTACTGTGCCTTTGGTGGACGAAACAATAAGTGAGTATGTAGTAAAAATGTTATTCTGTACCAATTAATAAATTAAACCACGGCTGAACCAAAATGCTAATCAATGCTCAGTCTTTAATTAAATCTTAAATCTTTGAGCTATTTTTTAAAGATTTTATTTACTACTAGTTTCTGTAGCTGCATTTTCGTGCGAATTTCTAAGATTTAGGACTCTTGAATTACTATAAACACCCAGAGATTATTCAATAACTGCGAAAGACAGGCCAATCATAATGAAGTGAATTTACAAACTTGACCTTCACTGGTTGGGTTATTGGCGGTCAAGCTCCTCACGAGAGTTGGGAATATTCCCGTGCGGTGGAGACAAAATGACCTGAGCTAAGTGAATGAATGAATGATGATAACTCACCAAATATAGACGCGACGATGTACCAGTACTTGTTCCTTTCAGCATGAGCTCTTTCTCTCTCGTGTCCCAGCTTGACAGCTGCCGACATGGTCGCGAATAACTCGCGTTCTTCCCGCTCCGCGTCGGAGAATAACGCTCGGAGCGCCCGCTCTTGGAGGATAAGCTGGAGGCAAAGTTAGTGTTGAGGAATCAAGTAACTTTTATCTTAGGCCGGCAATACACGAAGCAGTCAGGGTCGACAGCTTCAAGCTGCGACTGCACAGTGAACTGCAGAGTTCTATGGACGAAAATACACGAACCGCTCGAGCAGTTGCAACTGATTCGGGCGGTCTACAGTACGGTGAATTTTCATCGTGCGGTCAAGCAGTCGCCAGCCATACACTGACTGCTCGAACTGTCGACAGCTCTCGCGCAGTTACCTCCGCCCACTTTCTTCATTCCACGGCGCGCGCGCTTGTGATTTTGTAACGGTTAGCGTTACCGTTGACCTTTATCTTAGAACTAAATTCTAATTTAATTACTATTATCTACCTAAATAAATAAACTAAAATAATAAAATATCTAAATCTACGTAAGCTACCTAACTAAATAACTTAATTAAGTAATTCATATTATTCTACACTAATAAAATAAACAAAATAATAAATCTACAAGCAAACCCGCGCGAAACAAGTTGTTAAATATTTCTTTTGTTCTCTGTCGAGCGGGCGGGCTGTTTTTTATGTATGCGCAAGCGACGCGCCTACGGCCGCGATGCTCCCGCCGCGTCTCCTAGTCCGAGCCAGAGCGTTAGCGAGCACGGACGTATCGCTGTCCGTCACCGCCGGACCCGCGATTTACGTAATGTTCTAAAAACTAAATATGTAATCGCGTATTGGTGAACCCCGCTACCGGGTGAGTGTTGCAAAAGTATTTTAATGCCTAGATTTTATAATTGTGCTAAATGTAAGTACCTAGCCGCCATTTTGTTCTTGAAATGTGCTATCCATGTGCTCGGTGTCATTTCATACAAATTTCCTATTACTATAACTTCTTAATATTATTATTTTACAACTTACTACATGTATGATTAAATAAGTAAACTAAATATTTTATGAAATGACATCGACACGTCATGACTTTTAAATGACCTTGTCGTACTGTAACGACACTCATTCCAAATTCTATTTAATGTCCTAAATTGAACTATTCTAATCTTATTCTACTTGTTCTAATTATTCTACATTATTGCCTACCTATATTGTTTTACAAATTAATTGCCTACATAGATGATGTTCTAAATAATTATCTACCTACATAATTTAATATTTTGCATACTTCACGTTCACCTTCACGCTCATCTTCTTCACTACAACTACCTGCCATGCATGGCCAGCGCACTACAGCCGAACTACCACTTGGCTCCTCAACCCGGCAGAGCTGCCTGTCGTGTCGGACGGCCCGTACGCACACTCTAAGTGGCCCTACACCACAGTGCGTACGGTCCCTAACCGTCTGGCGCGTCGACGACCCTGCGGGCTCACCACCAGCGAGGAACCAAACCACATCACCATCAATGCTAGCGAGGACAGTGGTTTGAATATACTACCACCGGTGACGAATCTCGTGCGATATGATAGTTTGCTCGTAACCCACACCCTTAAGGTCTCTTTCTCTTAAATCTAAATAAATTACTTGTAACTTAAATCTATCTTTTATTTCTCTAACTTAACTATAAATTCTATTATGTCACTTGGCCTAAAGCCTATAACCGTGACAATTTGTTGAGCAGTTAATACCAACTAGCTACTCGAGCAATTATCACTGGCAGCTTCAAGCTGTTGACTCTTGACTACAAGAGTGGTCCGTGTATGTTGATCACTGACTAACTGCTCGAGCTGTCCGTGTATGGCGGGCCTTAGATTACACTAACAGAACTGCTCAAAGTCAAAGCTTTTATTCAGTACTTAGGCCATTTCCAGCCGGGCTAGGATGCGCGCCGTGATATACTTTATCGACGTCAAAATGGCGTGATAACCGCTTATCGCGGCACGCATCCTAGGCCTACAGGGCGCGTACACGTCCCAAATATAGCTTGCCCTACCACCACTTCGGAACAACATAATATCGTCTGGTGCAGAAAAGAAGTCGCCATAAAATACAAGTGTGCAAGTGACAATAGCGAAATCATCATTTCCCAAAACCCGAATCATTGCATTGCAGAAAAAAAGCACTTAGAAGCGCTTGTAAGCAAATTGGCGATCGCTACGGCAGTTTTCGGTTTTCGGTGACAGTGCTTAGCGATCGCCATTTTGCTCACAAGTGCTTCCAAGCGGTTTTTCCTGCCAAACGTCCCCAAATATCTTCTAGAAAGAAGATGTTTACGTAAAAAAATTACACCACTGCGGGAAGTCTCCTCAATAAGTTCGTTTCATCCACTCGGCCGCGCCCCAGCAATGTTTGGTCTCGGTCGCGCGGGGTGCGGGGAGTTTGATCCGAGCAATCCGAGCGTCATTATTGTAGTGTGCGTGTGCATTCATGGATCATTTAGCGTGTACAGATAACACTCAAACATTAGCGGAAGAATGGTGGAGCGCGTCTTCGTGAATGATACGATCTATACCTGTAGATGTTTTTTTTAAATAAAGTAAGTAATAAAGTCTTTATTGTGTATGAACAAAGGTTCCAAGTTTTTCACACTTGAAGAGCACTGTGTTATTTTTTGTGTAAAACTTAAATATTAGTGTCTATCCACTTAATATGGCTGCCACAAAATACCAGGTCAGGACCTAGAGCATAACACATGCTGAGTGGCTGCCATTTTAGTTCAAATTTAACTATTTAAGTAAGTAACTATGTTGTAAGTAGTCTAAGGATGTTTGGACTAAATAAAAATAGTTTCTTTCTTTCTTTCACTTACCTTATGCTCCTCAGTGCACAGCTGCAGATACTTGTCGTCTCCCTTCATGGTATTTTGTATCTCGGAGTGGAGTTCCTTCAGACGCGCCTCCACGTCCGACACCTGCCTGCCGAGCTCGCGCCGCCGCTCTTGCGCCACCATAAACCGCTCCTGAAATGGAGGACACAATCGTCATCATCGGGTCACGATATCCCGAGGCACACGATGTCCTAAGTGACTCGGTATCCTAAGTCACAACACGATGTCCTAAGTCACATGATGTCCTATGTCACACTATAAGACACACAATGTCCTAAGTCACACGATGTCCTAACACAACACAACACAATGTCCTAAGCCACACGATGTCCTGAGTCACATGATGTCCTAAGTCACACAATAACCTAAGCCACACGATGTCCTAAGGTCACACGAATTTACACTATGTCCTAAGTCAGACGATGTACTAAGTCACATGACGTACTATGTTACACTATGTCCTAGGTCACACGATGTCCAAACACACACTATGCACAAAGTCACATGATGTTTTAAGATACACAATGTATTAAGTCACACGATGTCCTAAGTCACGCGATGTCGTAAGTCACACGATGTCCCATGTCACACGGTCCTAAGTCACGCGATGTCTTAAGTAAGTCACACGATGTGCTAGTCATAAAATGTCCTAAGCCACACAGTGTCCTAAGTCAGCGACAAGCATGATGCGACGTTTTCAACGCGAAGCGACACGATAAAGCCGTATACAGGAAGAAGGAATTTGGCCTACATACTGACTAAATAGTTTTGGCAGGAATCTGCCAAGGTACTATTTTAAACACTTGAAAAAGGCTAGCAAATTGTTTCTTGAACTGCTTAGGCCAACTCATTGTCCTGATAAATTAATATTTCCCCTTTTATGAAGGGAGAATCAGTAGATTTACTGATTATTCTGATGCTATCATTATCTTAATCTCATCAGCTCAATCCTATCTTACTAATATTATAAATGTGAAAGTTTGGATGTCTGGATGGATGTTTGTTACTCTTTCACGCAAAAACTACTGAACGGATTTTGAAGAAACTTTACAGTATTATTTTTTATAACCCAGAATAACATATAGGCTATAATTTATGAAGATCTGTGACAAACTAAATTTCACACAGGTGAAGCCGTGGGCAAAAGCTAGTTTATTATAAAGTCAGCTGTGAGAGATGCATGCAATAAAAAATTTGAATTGGTAATGATAAATGTGTGTCCCAGACAGTATTGGTATTTGCTAAGCAAATGATGTAACAATCTTAAAATAAAATAGATAAGTAGTGGAAGCTGTGGAAGTGTTATCAATGTGCAGATCAAGATCATTTTGTGCAAGACTTAAGACAAACAAATTGATGCTGATATTAAAATGTTTTTCTTTTATTTGTAAATTAGATAGGATTAATATTTTGATTGTTAGTCCATATGTTAGATTAAATTATAATAATGAGTTAAAAATTCTTTTTTTTACATTTTTGGCAGTTTACCATTTTCAGTAGAGTTGAACCAATGAAATTAAAATTATCAGATTCTTATAACTTCAGATAAGAATGTAATGAAGCAAATAAATAGGTACCTACCTATCTCTTTAAAAATCATGATAACCTTTAGTCCCTGACTTTGATAATACAACATTCTGCTGAAATATAAAATCAGCTCAACATAAGTTCATGACCACTCACACTACAATATAAACAAAACAAAGGAAGGAATCTAGACCAAATCTAAAATTATCCAAGCATGATAATTATAAACAGTTCTAAAAATTCTACAGCACATTTCCTCTCAACAGTATACAAACTTTTTACACAGACAACATACACACCTCATACAGCGACCTTGAAACTACTTTAAAGTCATAAATGGACTTACTTGTGCTTCTACGACTGTGTTTTGAATGGCCATGATCTCTTCAACCCCCGTGAACTTTTCATAGCGGGACACCAACTCCTGGACTCTTCTAGAGATCGTCTCATGTTTGAATCGCTCTGCGATGTCACTGACTCTCTTGGCAGGGGCATACTTGGTCAGCATCTGATCAACCTTCTCCCTGCCGGTGGTGGTCAGCTGCGGCAAATGTACCTTGTCTTTCAGCCTTTGAGCGATCTGACGGAGGCGGTCGGCCATGATTTCATGTTAAATTTGTGCCCCAATTTTAGCTAATGTTTTATTTGCATTTTAAATCCCGGAATGATATCATTCCGAGTGAAACGAGACTTTTTTGAGTGACAGTGACAGGAGGAGATCAGATGATTGACAGATTTGACAGCGATTTGAAGATGCGTCAGTTTGACGTTAGTTTTTTTTATTTTTCCCACGAAATATGGAAATCGTGATTTAAGTCACTGTATAGGTCGCGCAGCAAGAGTTGAGACTTGAGGCGATCAATATTTTGTTTGTATCTTAAGCAGTGCCGTATTATCCATAAGGCACTTTAGGCCAGTGCCTAGGGGCCCACTATGACCAGGGGCCCAGCACTCCCGATTAAAAAAAAGAAAAAAAAAACATGTTAAAGATTATTTTTATGCAACAAAACTCAAACCTCCTCAAAACTTCGCCTTATTTTGGTTTACACATTCAATCGTCATATTTCGATATTGTGGAAGTTAATTCATTTTCGTAACGTTTAGGCCATAGAATTAGATTTTAAATCGGAAATAATTCCTACAAAAGATTTTATTGTTTTAATGGCTTTATTTGTTGCCCATTAATACTATCCTAGATTTTCGACTTCGGCGGAGTTGTGCTTAAGTGGTGGGGCCCCTCGAAAGGGCCATTTTTGCGGTTTTACTGTTATATCACTTAAAGGACTTACTGTATCGAAAACTAATCTTCATGACGTTTGAAGGACATTCAATCCTGCATTGAATAAGACCAAATTCATATGTTTTGGAAAAAATGTTCTCGTGCTTATCTTCGACAAAGTAGAAAATATACCCGCAGGGTCCCAAACCTTGAAAAGGGCCGCCTTAACCAGCGTACCCCTGTCAAGTCTCACGAGTTGGATTTACCTATCCTTGTTCCTCCTTCATCCTTAACTACGGTTGCTGCAACTCTTCGTGCGCGTTCAAACAAACTAACAAACAAACTCTTCAGCGTTTTAATATGAACCTGTTGTTGTTGATTTTTGGAGTCGGACCATGGACCAGCTGTAAGACTTGGCAACGCAGTCGTGCAGGAGGGTGCAAGGAAGAGGGGCAGCCACAGTAGATAACAATAGAGTCGTTCAAGAGAGTAAGGAAGAGGAGCAGCAACCGTAGTAAAGGAACGGCTGCACTGGGATGAATAAGGATAGACGATTCCAACTCGCGAGGCTTGACAGGATGGCCTTTTTCAAGGCTTTGGAGCTTGCGGGTGACGAGCCATTTGACGAGAGAGGGTTATTAATTAAACGTATATTTTCTACTTTGTCGAAGATAGACACGAGAACAGTTTGTCCAAAATAGTATACGAATTTGGTCTTATTCAATGCAGGATTAAATGCCCTTCAATCATCATGAAGATCAGTTTTCGATACTGTAAGACCTTTACACAGTATAACCGTAAAACCGCAAAAATGCCTCTTTCGGGGGGCTACACCACTTAAGCACAACTCCGTCGAAGTCGAAAACCTAGAATAGTCTTAAAGAGCAACAAATTAAACCATTCTACTAATATTATAAAGGCGAAAGTTTGGATGTCTGGATGTTTGTTACTCTTCCACGCAAAAACTACTGAACGGATCTTTATGAAACTTTACAGTATTATTGTTTATAACCCAGAATAAAACATACAGGCTATAATTTATGACGATCTGTGACAAACGAAATTTCACGCGTGTGAAGCCGCGGGCAAAAGCTGGTTAAAACAAGAAAACCTTTTGTAGGAATTATTTCCGATTTGATTGATTTTCATGTCTTATTCTACTGGCCTAGTTGGCACTACTGCTTTGTTTTACATGACTTTTATGTACATTTTTATTTTTTAATGTTTATGTTAGTTATAATAAAATCTTGCATAAAATAAATATTATGCAAGATTTTCCTATTCCTTGTTTCATTTTTAAATGACTCCGATACATACATAGTGGCGAAAGTCTTTTCACTTGAAGGAAGGCGTATACCTTTGCAATGTGATGACTGGGGGACCCGAAACGAGCTGTGCCTAGGGGCCCCGAGATGGTTAATCCGGCCCTGATCTTAAGTTTGTTTTACTGAGCGCCACCACAGTCACTGGACGCGTTGCGTATTTTGAATTCAATTGTTGCGTATTTTGAGTACGGTGTTCGCCAGTCGCCACAACTTTTATTTTGCGACTATAACAGTCTAAAAATCATTATTTTAGAAAGTTATATTATGTAATGTGTAGCCCGTGTAGGCTACACAACACTACGCTCAAAAAATATAAATCCGGCACTGCTCACACTCATTTTTTAATGATTGAATACTTTTTTTATTCTTGTCAGTCCGATTACGCAAGACTTCAGCGACCAGCGTACACAGCATATTATACAGTTTCTCCATCTACGGTATTCAGATACAAATCTTTGCTTGTGCTCTCGAGGCCTCAAGTCTCAACTCTTGTTGAGCGATTAGACAAATAAGACCTACTTATGGTTTAAAAAGGCTTGTACCCAGAGCCGTGAAACATCATATAAAAAAATGGGGCCTACTTATGATGTTGTATATATCTATCTCTTTCATTTTAGGTATACAACACTGTAGGATGAGTGAGACAGACACAGATAATTGAGTTCATCGGCCCCTGTCCCCTGTCATCATCACTGTCAGTTAGTGTCATACTTACTTTTCTCTATGGTGTCATAGAGAAAAGTAATGTTAGTGTGTTGCGTTGCGTTCGTTGTTTGTGGCTTGCGCTTGTGGTTTTAAATTAAACCCAAGCGTTTTCGTCAACCTTTCTTCACTAAAATCCGTTCAATAAGACAATTTAGCAATCATAAACATCATGCAGGACGGTAAGTCACTCAAAAACAACGAGTTCGTTGCCAAATTACAATAATCTAGCTTCATAATTCTGCATCCACATTTTGCGTCTTTTCTAGATTTAGAGGTCACTGGCATAAGCAGAAGCGGGCGGGTTAGGAAGAAGAGCTCTAAGCTCATGGATTTTGAGTCTCCGGACGATATTGAGACACGTTTTCGTAAGCAGACACCCGTGAAGTCGTTTGCCAATTTCCGCCAAGAGGAGACGCCTGAATTTCCACCTCAGGAGCCCCCAAGGCCGACTGAAGAGGCGGGAACTGCGTCAGGAAGCGAGTCGGATTACTATGAGAACAATGGGGAGAATGCTGATAGGTATGTGTATGTTAATGTTAGAAAAGTAATTGAGTAGGTTTCATCTACAATGATAGCCTTTGAAATTGGGATCTGTAAACAGAAGCAAATGTTTCGCTTCAGGCAGCTGCTACTATGTATATTTTACCTTGGTGTTAAAAAGCTGGGGCCATACAATATTATGCTGCATATTTGTGTGTGTCTGTAGTTCCATACATGTTCATACTGAATAACAGCCTACAAACAAACAGTGTGTAGGGTGTCTACAAAGAGTAGGGAGTTCTAATTCTACTCTGTCTGAACCACATGGTGAATAACAACTGATGTTTATTACTAATTGTATGTATCCAGCTCCCTCATGAGCCCTAGAGAAATTCTAAGTATGCCATATGCTAGGGACTGGAATTCGCTGCTTGCTAAGCTGTCTTTCTTGAACACTATAATCCAGGCCTTTTCAAGGCGAAAGGAAATAGGCACTTACAGAGCAGATATGTACCATCTTAGACTGCATCTCAATTAACATCAGGTGCGATTGCAGTCAAATACCTGCCATGTTGTGCATAAAAAATAACGAAAATATTTTAAAGTTTATTTATAGAAATCAAATGTTTCAGTTATTAAATTGTAGCCACTACTACTTCATAACTATGAGTTGTTTTTTGTGTTATCTTTTGTTCGTTCGTTTTAACCTATGACGTCCACTGCTGGACAAAGTCCTCCCGCAAGGATTTTTGCACAAATTTTTGTGCCATTTTAACAAATATTCTGACTTATTTTGTAGTATGGAGTCGGACAGCTCGGCATCCGATGAGGGCTCGGCCCGGACTCCGGCCAATTCCCTATACATGATGGAGAAGAGTAGTAAGAAGAAACTGATCGTCAAGGACGGGAGAGTGGTCGGGAGGGCTAAAGCTCAGAGGAAAGACAAAGGTAAATAAAGGGCATAATTTCCACCGAAACCAGTTCAATTTTGAAAGTGCAAAGTTTGGGACCTCTGGCTTAGAGAGATAAAAACTAAATTTTGAAGGACCCTTAAATTAGGAATACCTTACAATTGGAATCTTATTAGATAACATAGAAAGAAAGAAAAATATTTATTTGGTTCCAACTTAAAATATAACACATAGATACCTAACAAAAAGCAAATACAAGTTAGAACCAAAATTGGCCACCGCTCAGCATGTGTCATGCTCTGGAGTAGTAAATAAAACCAGAACATGACGCTGTTATTCTGCGGTGACCATTTTTGGAGAAAGCTGGAATACTCGCCTATAATTAATTATTAACTTAAATATCCGGCTCGAAGGACCATTTACATGTACCGTGAGAGAAGTACATCTAAAGAATTGTTAATTGAAATGCTGGAGATTGAGATAATTAAGATTTTATTTCTATATGTTGTTACAATGTTTATACATTACAATGCTAATGCTAAGAATGACGTGTGATTGCTATGAATGCGATGAAAGAAATAATGATTTGAGTGTAATACAATATGTCTCAAAACTATTTTGGTTTACAGGCAAAACACGCATAACAGCGTACATGATGTGGGCTAAAGAAGCCCGCAACGAACTCCTACGGAAGCATCCGGACATGGACTTCTCTGCGATATCCAAACGATTGGGAGAGATGTGGGCTAATGTAAGTATTTGTAGTTTGTGTTGTATATTGTTTCAGCCACAACGTCCACTGCTGAACATAGGCCTCCCCCAACGACTTCCACATCGCACGGTTGGTAGCGACCTGCATCCAGCGCCTTCCTGCTACCTTTATCAGGTCGTCGGTCCACCTTGTGGGTAGAAGACCTGCGTGTTCTAAATTCCAGTATTGTATTGTAATATTTTATTTTAAAGCGAATTTTTGGAGTCAAAACACTATTGAGGGCCTAGTGTGAGTTTATATCAAACGCGCTCACTATTGGAGCGGATACGGATTGTACAGCGCCCCTAGCGGGAAACGTTCAAAAACTACAATTTTCATATATTTTTTAAACGCGCGTTTGTTGTAAACTCACAGACCACTGTTTTAACATTGGACTCATTTGTTTACACGTTATTACAGGTTTTATTTAAAAAGGACGCTAGAAAGAACAGCGGGCCTAAAAAGGCCGCTTTGAGCAATTCTTATTAGATTCATAATATGATTCAGATTTAAAAACACAAAATGGCCACTTGTCGGCAATTCATATTATGNCTGCTGGACAAAGGCCTCTCCCAAGGTTTTCCATAATGAATGCGTACTTACCTACATACGTACCTCATTACAAATAAGTATATTAATTATTTTTTTACTAGACACTACTAGACAGCAACCCTAACAGCGTAAGAAGAGTTCAGAGGCACGCGATAGAAAGAGACAAAACTTGTAGGTGAATAAAATTGTAGGTACGTAGTGCTGTGCGAGCTGAATTCCACTGTATCGCGTCGTAGCAAGACTCGCATTTATTTAAATCGTCTTGCGGAGTAATCCTTCTGTACCTGTACTATTACTTATTCTGTGATAGAGATTAATATACCTACTTAAATATTGTTAACACAAAAGCGGTGTTTCTTAACACAAGCAACGTACATTTATAATGAAATAAAATATTTTGTATTTTTTGACGTTGACGATGACGGTCCGCAGGTGCTGGTGGAGCGCCTGCTGCGCACGTGCCCGGCGACGGCGCGGCTGCTGCTGCTGCTGCGAGCCAAGGCCGGCGTCAAGCCTCAGGAGCGCCTCATGCAGCTCAAGCGCTCGCAGGTAACAACAGACACAACAGGCTTGAGAGAGGGCTCATCATTTCACTTTGACAAACGTCAAATCTGTCAAACTCCATTCAAAAAACAACGGTTATCGTTACAGTTACGGTCAAAGTTAGGTGGTACAACTCAGCCTTAGTGTGAGTTTAAAAAAATCTCTAAAAACTCAGTAAAACTCATTTATTTCTGTAAGTAGGCTTTAAAAAAGCACTTTTACACGTCCCAGTATTAACCCTACCACTGCTTCAGGACAATAAATGGACCAGTGCTGAGAAGAAGCAGCTCAAGAAACTCAGACACTATTGTCAGCCTCTTATTCAAAGGTTTATACAGGTTTCCAAATTACATAGTTATAAATATTTATGCGAGCTATGCATATGTACAATCCGTCATACATTTAATGACTGCACTTTTTTACGCAGTTGACATCGAATGTCTTTGACGTAAAACAAACTACACCCCCTGAACATCTAACTCGTGTAAAACTGAAGGCTGTGTGTGTTCAAGCTCATAGCGAAAGCTAAATGTCTCATGCAGCTCAAGCGCTCGCAGGTAACACCACAAGAGGCATCCCGTTTTTTGCAAGATACATTTTTGTGCAGTATCTTGTTTTATGCAGTATCTATTTAATTTTGCAGTATCCCGTTCTATGCAGTATCTATTTAATTTTGCTTTGCAGTATCCTGTTTTATGCAGTACCCCGTTTTATGCAGGGTCCTTTTATATGCAGTATCTCGTTTCATGCAAGATCCCTTTAAATGTAGTATCCCGTTTCATGCAGGGTCCCTTTATATGCAGGTTCCCTTTATATGCAGGTTCCCTTTATATGCAAGACCCCGTTTTATGCAGTATCCTGTTTCATGCAGGGTCCCCTTTAATTCGAATTTCAAACACACACAGGGTGATTTTATAATAAGTGTCCAAATTAGGAGCGACTCAGAATCAGTTGCTGCCTGCTAAGAGTCTGCGCAGAGTATAGCGATGCGGGAGCAAACTCATAACAAAAAAACAGCAAACATTGTACCTAGTACCTTTAATCGTTGAGTACTTTGTAACGTGTTTTTTTTATCCACGAACCAATAAAATGTATCTGGCTGATAGATTCGCCTGTAACATTAAAGTTCTGAGCCCGCCTGGCTAGCTACCACCATCTTACCTAAGTCTGTCGCCATAACGACAATGTTAATAGCATTATTGTGTTCCGGCAGTTAGAGGTAAGATAGCCAGTTCCTCCGTGGTTGAGGATTCCGGGTGAAGCTCGCTTCCACCTTCGGCCTGATCATCACTTACCAACAGGTGAGATACAGGCCAAGAGCTTCCTCGTTGTGGATAAAAAAAAAGAGTGCACCAGAAAGAAGAAAGTTCCAGTTTTAGGTTCTTTTAAACAACCAATGTTTTTCCAGGTGTTCGACGGCCTTCGTCAAAGCCACCCTGCCCAGCTGGACAAGCTACACGCGGTCGCCGGTGACGTCACGAAGCCCGTCCTGGGCCTCTGTGCGGCTGATTTGGAGGAGATGCAAGAGGTACGCAACACTAATGTTTTTGTTATATTAATACGTAACACTAGTAGATTGTCACTGCTTTAGTTTTTGTTTTCCTTTTTGAAAATTACTTTGCGAACAATGTTATTGGTTATACAGGGTGTTAGGTAAATGGGTATATGAGCCGACATCAGCCTATGTTAACATGGTCATATAAATGGTATGGTGAAGTCAGAAAATTGATATCTTCATTTAAATTATTTAAATTTTCATACAAATCGGAATTTATAAAATTTATTTTGTATGAAAATTAAAAAAACTAAAATGGTGAATTTCTGACTTCACCATACCATTTATATGACCATGTTAACATGGGCTAGTGTCGGCTCAATACCCATTTACCTAACACCCTGTATAATTAGTAATTAATTGTTTGTTGGTCTGAATAAAAAAAAAAACACACACAGATACTTTCAAAATAACTCCTAAAGTAAGGCCCGATTTCCATCAAATTAGAGAGGAGAGAGTAGATGAGTATTATTTAGTCTACAAGGCAGGTATTTGACCGCAAGCAGATTTGATAACCAATTAGAGGTGGAAAGAACGAAAGCCTACGAAATCGATTCGGTTATTCAATCACATTTCCTCTCCTGTCCACTTTAATGAAAACTAGGAAAAATAAATCTGTTCAGTGGTTTAAGCATGAAAATGTACTACTCGTAGATATCATAGATATGTACGAGTAAACAAAGCGTTACAGTATCATCATCATTATCATTTATTCAACCACAGGGTTTCCACTGCTGAACATAGGCCTCTTCCAATGATTTCCACATCGCTTGGTTGGTAACAGCCTACATCTGGCGCCTTCTTGCTTTCGATGACCTCATAAAGGTAGCAGCAAGGCACTACGTACTCACACTAATATTATAAACGCGAAAGTTTTTGAGTGTGTATGTTTGTTACTTCTTCACGTCTAAACGGCTGGAGCGATATTAATACAATTTGGTATGTAGTTAGCTGACACCCTGGTTTAAAACATAGGTTACGTTTCACCGCGGGTAACACCGCGGGGCACAGCTAGTTTACACTATTTGTCGTGCAGGTGTCGGTGGTGTTCCACTGCGCGGCGACGGTGCGGTTCGACGAGCCGCTGCGACTCGCGGCCGAGCTGAACGTGCTGTCTGTACGCCGCCTGCTGCAGCTGTGCGACACGCTGCCTCATATCAAGGTTTGTTTTGCAATAAACATAGTCTAAAGTCCGGTCGCCGAGCACATAGAATCTCGTCCAATGACCCCAAGCAACCCATCCTCACTGCGGCCGCCCGTCGCACAGTCGCGACAGAAATAATATTTCGATAATAATGGGTAGCTTGAGGTCATTGGACGAAATTTTATCTACTCGGCGACCGGACTTTAGTTGCTGCCGACTGTATAAAGTAAAAGAAGAGCTCTGCAACTGGCAGCCAGACGTCGAGTTAGGTACTTACGTGGATATGATCGGGGCTATTTTGCTATAAGAAATAGTCTGATCAGCTCAATGTGCTGTCCGTGCGCCGCCTGCTGCAGCTCTGCGACACGCTGCCCAATATCAAGGTACTTGTGCACTTGAGATAGGGGCTGATTTGCAATAAACGGATAATCTGATGTGCTTCCGACTGTATAAATAAAGTAAAAGTTAAATTCTGGCGGTCAGAAGGACTTTAGGTGACAGTAGGTATGCATGCCTTAGGTAAAGTGTTGGTTTAAATTTTTTGTGTTGTAATTAATTTGTACAAGCTTACATTAAAACTCATAAAACTTATTTATTTTTGCAAATAGGCTTTTAAAAGCATTTTTACACGTCCCAGTATTAACCCTACCGCTGCTTCTTCGGGACAATAAATGGGCCAGTGCTGAGAAGAAGCAGCGCAAGAAACTCAGTCACATTGTTAGACAAGCCGTGTAGTGACGGCAGAGTAGAATATATTTGTCAGCAACCCCTACTCTTTCCGCGGGTGTCGTAACTACACATCAAACAGAGAACGGGCAGCAGCGCTCTCTGAAAAACATCAATCTTTTAAACTGCGATCTCCAACCCGCCTGCCAAGCGTGGGGATTATGGCAAAACCCACTATAGTTGAAGAGGCTCATAATCCAGCAGTGGACTGTAAAGGGCTGTAGATGATGATGATTACATTGGCAACGTTTGTCGGCAGGCGTTAGTGCACGTGTCGACGGGGTACTGCAACGTGGAGGTGCCGGCGCTGCAGGAGCGCGTGTACCCGCTGCCCGCCGCGCTGGACGACGAGCTGGAGCGCGCGCTCGCCGTGCCCGACCACACCAGCGCGCAGGACCTCAAGAGGTGAGACAGTATACAGAGGGCTGTGTGAGTTTACATCAATCGTCGTCACTAGCGACTGCTAGGGGCGCTGTACAATCCGTCACACATTTTATGTCACTTTTTTACGCAGGCGACATCGAAATCGTTTTATGTAAACTCACACTACGCCCCCAGCACGCTGCTGACGCTACAGCACACAGCAGCTGTTATGCTTTGATCACACGTACCGAGCAAACGGGCGAGACAGTGCTCTCGGCCGAGTACTCGGTGTGTATGAACATTACGCCCAGTGCTCGGCGGAGCGCTCGAGTATGTGACTCGCTCACTGTCTCGACCGAGTAAACATTTTACTGTCTCGCCCGTTTACTCGGTACGCTTGAGGTGAGACAGTATTCCGCACGCTGCTGACACTACACACAGTAGCTGTCGCTACAGGAGCGCGTGTACCCGCTGCCCGACCACACCAGCGCAAGCGACATCAAGAGGTGAGACAACGGGACTATCCCAACCGCTGCCACTCCTGTGTAGCCAGGATCTACAGCGTGACGGCCAAGAGATCTCAAGACGTGAGACCACATTGCTGAGGCTACAGCACACAGCAGCCGTGGTGAGACAGTATACACACACAGCAGCTGTCGCTGAAGGACGCCGTGCCCGACCACGCTAGCGCGCAGGATATCAAGAGGTGAGACAGTATACTGCTGCTGAGGCTACAGCACACCGCAGCTGTGGTGAGACAGTATACTGCACGCTGCTGACGTCACAGCACACAGCAGCTATCGCTGCAGGAGCGCGTGTACCCGCTGCCGGCCGCGCTGGGCGACGAGCTGGAGCGCGCGCTCGCCGTGCCCGACCACACCAGCGCGCAGGATCTCAAGAGGTGAGACAACGGGACTATTCCCACCTCTCGTTCCCACCGCTGCGACTCCTGTGTAGCCAGGATCTACAGCTGCAAGATGACGCTACAGCATACAGCAGTCATGGTGAGACAGTATACTGCACGCTACTGACGCTACAGCACACAGCAGCCTTGGTGAGACAGTATACTGCACGCTAATGAGGTACAGCGCATAGCAGCAGTACACGACGTCAACAGGTGAAACAGTATACTACGCTGCTGATGCTACACACACAGTAGCTGTCGCTACAGGAGCGCGTGTACCCGCTTCCCGACCACGCCAGTGCACAGGATATCAAGAGGTGAGACAACGGGAGTATCCCCACCGCTGCAACTCCTGTGTAGCCAGGATCTACAGCTTGACCGCCAAGAGATATAAAGAAAGAAAGAAAGAAAAAACATTTATTTGGTACAAAAAAATTAAACAATACGTAAGAGGTGAAACCACGTTGCTGAGGTTACAGCACACAGCAGCTGTCGCTGAAAGACGCCGTGCTCGACCACGCCAGCGCGCAGGATATCAAGAGGTAAAACAACAGGACTATTCCCACCGCTGCAACCCCTGTGTAGCCAGGATCTACAGCGTGACGGCCAAGAGATCTCAAGAGATGAGACCACGTTGCTGAGGCTACAGCACACAGCAGCTGTGGTAAGACAGCATACTGCACGCTGCTGACGCTACAGTACACAGTAGCCGTGGTGAAACAGTATACACACACAGCAGCTGTCGCTGAAGGACGCCGTGCTCGACCACACCAGCGAGCAGGATACTGCACGCTGCTGGGGCCACAGAACACAGCAGCCAGCACAAGCGACGTCAACAGGTAAGACAGTCAGCTGCTGAGGCTACACACAGCAGCCATGGTGAGACGGTATAGCCACAGTATGTGCACCCCAAACGTTGGCGCAGTCGAGGTCCGAGTCGCCCTCGTCAGATTACCACTAGTGCTAGTTGTGCTAGCTGCCTCACAGTCCATTATTATAACTAGGTACCTAGGTACCTGCTACGATTATCCTGTCCAAAAGAATTTCCTTAACTTATACTCTCACTTATAGATGCTAGCACAGTAGCCGCAGTAGGTGCATCAATTAAGGCCGGGTAACAGAGAAAATGGCGAAAATGAGGTTTTCATTTTTCATTTTTGAGGTACTAAACAGTAAAATAAAAGGCTAAGATTTTTTTTGGGCATAGTNGGAATGGCACGCTTTGACGATCAACTTGCTGTATCTACTCTAATCCATATCTGTGGGTCAGTCAGTCTCGCCGCGCGGGGCAGTGCCTTTGTTGCGAGGGGCCGCTCGCTCCTCGCGACTCGCGTTGCCGTTGCTCGCACGGCCAGAGCCCCGATTACGGTAACTTTTATAACGTCTACAATCCAGACGCGTTTCTGATTCTGCGATACGATTGGTCAAAACAGCTGACGTACGCTGTTGAACGACCAATCATATCGCAGATTCGAGAAGCGTGTCTGGATTGTTGACGGTAAAAAATACCGTAATCGGGGCTCAGTTCGGTTTCTTCGGCCGTCGAATGCGCTTGCGACTTTTGATTGTTTTCTCGTGCGGATAGTTAGTGTGTGAACGTGTGATAGTGAGTGTGGTAATAGTGAATGTGTGTTAGAAAGATGCCTAACCATACGTACAGTGCTCGTGAGTACGTAAACATGGTTTACTGTTATGGGAGGGCACGTGGAAACGCATCTGAAGCCCTGCAGGCTGTAGGTATCGGGCTGAACATCCTACAGCGCACCACCGCACGGTGGATCGAGCCCATACAAGGTGTTGGACATGGTGCTTTAAATGCAACTACTTAAAACAAGATTGATTTGCATATAAGTTGAAAGATGAGACTTCATTCTATCAAATATCATTAATATCNCGGCCTCTCCTGACTGGAGAACGTCCTCGTGCTCCCGAATTTCCTCTGGGTGCAGGGCTTCCACCGCACTGGAGGTACTAGGCACGGGTTCTGGCATGTCACCAGGTAGCACATCGCTCCCAGCAGCTCGCTCAGGCATGGACTCCGCATCATCGAGGTCTGCACCTGAGAGTGTAAACAAAACAAAGCTTACAATTCTAATCATTCCCCTTTTTTAAATTACTAGTGATGTAACAGAACCGCTGCAGACAATTCAGCCACATCACCAGTAGGAATAATTTTATTAGAACAGAGGCGTTGGGTCTCTGATGTTTATCAGAGACTCTTCAACGTCACATAATAAAAAGGTAATAAAAGAAGAGTCAGGTCTCCGGTCGTCACCAGAAATGCCTTGACTCCACATAGTGAACCACGTTCACCCGGTCGGAGAGGAAGCACAATGTGCTATCTACGACTACATGACATAGGCACGACGTTAGCTTATCATATACCTCCACACTTGTGTGACATAGGCACGACGTTAGCGTATCACACAAATGTGGCCTGATTACCCACATGGCATAGGCACGACGTTAGCATACCATGTGGCGTCTACTCTTGTATGACATAGGCACGACGTTAGCTTATCATACAAGTGTAGAATAAGCTCACCCTCGAAGAAAGCAGCACACGTATCCGGAGTCCATTCCCCTCGCCACGGCACCATGAATTCTGCCGCAGCCTGGGTCGTTTTTCCATAGGAGCCCGCCAACAGCTTAAGCTCATATCGACCATGGGGAAGCGCTTTGACCACACGATATGGCCCGCGCATGCCCGAGTCTAGCTTGCCAGTCGCTTGTGCCTGTTTAATAACAAAAACAAGTGAGTTTATTTCAAAGATCCGAGGAGGCCTTCGGTTAGCGTTCACAATCGCATCCTGTTGGTGTTGATTCACCTTCAGGCGTTCAGAAGCTCTTTGACGATGCATTTCTCTTAAAGCCTCGCGGTTCGGGTGAGAGTTTTCTAAGGCAACGTCTCTGACGAGATGACGTATGAGAGGTGTGGCTGCTTCAATACCCACTAGCATATTCAATGGGGATAGCTTTGTAGTTTTCTGCTTTGTTATATTCAAAGTTAACTGTAGCCGCCACATAACATCTGACCATTCATGTTGTCGATGGTTGCATTCTATACGAACCATATTTAGTAACGTCCGGCAATAACGTTCAACTTGCCCATTTGAGTGATGCATCTCAGGTGTTATGAGATGCAAGTCAATGCCTAAATCTGTTACAAGTTTTGTAAATCCTGAACTTTGAAACATACGACCACGATCTGCCACGATTAGCTTTGGCGTGCCAAATAATGAAATCACGTTTGTAAAAAGTCGTTTTAATTCATCTGAATCTTGTCCAAACATAGGGTACAGAAGGCAGTATTTGGAAAACGCATCTACAACGATTAGCACATGTCTATAACCGTTAGACTGAGGCAAAGGACCTAATGCGTCTGCATGGATTACCTCAAAAGGATCACATGGTTTTTCCCACGAATGTATTGGCTGATGGGGAGCTCTGGGAATCTTTTTATGAGTCATGCAAATAAGGCAATGACCTACATACTTCTGAACAAACGATTTCAGAGAAGGAAACCAAAAATGTTTTCTAATGAGTTCTAGGGTCTTATCGACTCCGGGATGATCGTGCTCATCGTGAAAAATCCGGAGTAAACTCAGCCTATGACCCTTGGGCACAAAACAAAGAAGTCTAGGGTCTTCGCCTACCGGGGAATATTTATAATAGAGCAGACTATTTTTGTGGACATAATGGTTCGAATCCAATTGTCCATCTGTCAGTTTCTGGATAAGCTGTTGAGTTTCCTCATCAGCAGCCTGTGCTATTTGAGCCCAATTTTGTTGTTTACGAGCTTCGCAGACATTTACGGGGTTGCGGCTCAAGTAATCGGCATGAGACATAGAAATACCTTTGCGGTATTCCAGAGTAAAATTAAAGTCTTGCAAATATATCCACCATCTGGCTACTCGAGGCAATAAGTCTTTTTTTTGTTGCGTTGACTTTAGTGCATTACAGTCTGTAACGATTTTAAATTGAACGCCAACCAGATAGTGTCTAAAGTTTTGCAAGGCCTTAACGACGGCCAAGGTCTCGAGCTCATATGAGTGATACCTTGGCTCGGCACCTTGAGTACGTTTGCTGAAGTAACCCACAGCTCGTTTATTACCATTTTCGTGAACCTGAAGAAGCACCGCACCATAGCCAATGGAACTTGCGTCCGTGTGAACTTCGATAGGTAAGTCAGGGTTGTAAATAGCCAATACAGGCTCACTTGTAAGCAGAGAAATTATATCCTGCCGTGCTTCCTCTTGTTCACTGCCCCAAATAAAAGGTTCACCCTTTTTTGTTAGTTTGGTAATAGGTGCAGTTTTTGTCGCAAAACCAGCTATATAGCGACGAAAATAACTCGCCAACCCCAAAAACTGACGCACCTGCTTTACAGTTTTTGGAACGGGCGACTCGACCAAAGCTCGAACTTTACCTTCGCTCGGCTGCACCTGACCTTGACTTATGGTACGTCCCAAGTACTCTATTTTAGTTGAAAGAAAGGAACATTTCTTTAGATTTATGGAAAAGCCTGCATTTGTCAAAGTCTGGAGCACCTTGCGAAGGGTTATCAGACCCTCTTCGACTGTATTGCTCAGGATAAGTACATCGTCAATGTACACCAGGGTTTCACCAGATTCTAGGTGCTGACGTAAAGTTTTTGACATTATTCGTTGGTAAACAACAGTAGCATTCGCCAAGCCATAGGGCATTTTTAAATATTCATAATGCCCCTCTGGCGTAACGAATCCCGTGAGCTGTATTGAGTCATCATCCATAGGGATCTGGTGAAACCCTGTTGCCATGTCAAGACTTGTAAAATACTTATGCTTGCCCAACCGATCGATGTGATCGTCGATTAGCGGAAGTGGAAATCGATCTTTAACAGTATTTTCATATAACTTCCGGTAATCGACGCACATGCGATCAGAGCCGTCCTTTTTTTTCACTAATAGGATTGGGCTCGCAAATTCGGATTCAGACTCCCGGATAATATTTTTTTG